TGCATTTTGTCTATGTTTAGGCACACAAATACTTACTAAGGTGTTACAACTGGCTACAGTATTCAGTACAGTAACATGCTGTACAAGGTTGTAGCATAGGAGCAATGGGCTATGCCATGTAGCCTTGGTGTGTAGGAGGGTATATGCCATCTAGGTCTGTTAAGTGCACTCTGTGATGTTCACACACTGACAAAATCACCTAAGAATGCATTTCCCAGAATATATCCCCATCGTTAAAGGACGAATGACTGTACCGTGCTAAGGATAAACATGAAAAAGTTAGAATGGTAGTAATATCTAAACTTCTAGACAAGAACTATTACCAGGGATGAAGGGATATATTTCTTAATGACAAAGGAGACAATGAGAAAGACAGAATTGTCTATATGTCTTTCATATAATAGAGCTAGAACATATATGAAGCAAAAACTGACAGAAATAAAAGAAGATGCAGACAAATCCACAATCATAATTAAATATTTTAACAAGGCAACTTATTGTTCTGTCTAGTTAGCTGCTAGAACAATGAGACAAAAAATTAGTATTGAACAGAAGATATGAGCAACACTATTGGCCAACTTGACCCAATTGACATTTATTAAACATATTAAACATAACGCAAGACACATAGCCTTTTCAAGTGCTCATGAAACATTAACCAACCTAGACTATATAAACGCAGAACATTTACTAATATAGCTCATTCTCTGAGCCATAAAAGGAGCTTCAATACAATTAGGATTATCCAAATCGTGTAAGTCACAGCAGAATTACATCAGAAATTAATAACAAATATATCTGAAAAATCCACAAATCTTTGAAAGCTCGCAAATCTTTAAATAACTCACAGGCAAATAAATAAAAAGGATATTAAAAATTATTTTTAACTGGGATAAAAAGATAACATGAAAATTTGTTGAGTGCAGCAAAAGCAGTCTTTAGAGGAAATTTTAAAGCTCCAGTTGCTGATACTGAAAAACGAGAACAGTTTAAATCAATTGTCATAGCTGCTGCTACTTTAATAAACTAGACAAAAACAAAACAAAACCAAATGAACCCAAAGTAAGCAGAAGCAAAGAGCTAAGAAAGACCAGACAAGAAAGCAAAGAAACAAAAGGTGTTTCTTGGAAAAGGTCAACAAAATACTTAAATTGTGCCTGTGGTGTTGGGGTAGGGAGCAGATCTGGGATATGTGGAATTGTTTTTAAAAGGAAGAAATGAAAACTTTAAGAAGGTCAAAGTTCTTATCCTCTCCCTGGTGCCAAGACTGTGTACAGCAGTTCACGTGCTGGCGCCTGAGCAAAAGGGCTGAAGGGGAACTCAGCTGGTGTGCAGAGACTCTCATCACTGGCAGCAGGAAGGCGTTAGGCTGGCCTATTCAGAAGCACTGTGACTATCCACTAAAGGATTATGTAGAAAGGAATACATTGACAGCAACGCGAGCCAGGTTTCCTGTAAGGGAAGCCAGTTTCAACTACAAAAAGGGAGAAGAGCGAAAGAACAATGCTATGTAAGATTGTCATTGGAGGTACCGGTGTGAACGCATGGCTTTACATGCTATAGATTAGACAGATATACTTGTGTGTGTATTTGTGTGTGCATTACTGTATTTATACATGCACAGATATTTTTCCTAGCTCTGTCCATGAAGAAGGCCCCAAAACAATAGTACTCCACTAACAATGAGGACATGTAGCTCTCAAATCTTGGTTTCTAAATGTTAATTTCCACTACACTCCAGACTGCTTGGAGATGTGTCTTTCTGTGGCAGGGGCAGGGAAAATACAAGACAGATCTGGAATCTCTTTGCCAAAGAAGGAGGGATTGCTCAAAGTACAATGGAGGTGGAACAAAAGGACATAGGATCCCGCTCCCATTAGGTAAATCTGGGACAATTTGTGCATAAAAATAAAGACAACATTAAATTATATTCCACTGAATAAAAAAGAACCCCATGAGATCCTGCTGATGCATATAATAAATAAGAGGAGGAGAAGAGAAGCTTTCACTTTTCAGAAGGAAGTGAACTGATAATTGTCACTTTGAGTAATAAGTACAACATGCTTTACAGTGGCGAAAACTGCTAGATACCTTCTTAAACAAGTGATAAAACTTAACATCACCAGTGGCAAGGAAGGTTGGCATCAGAGCCATTCTGATACTATGCACTGGGAACACAGCATCCATTCTGTGTGATTCCTGCCCTAGTTTCAAACCTGAATCTAAGGAAACACCAGTAAGCCAAATAGAGGAATCCTTGTCCATCAGGTAACTGTAGTGTTGGTCTTACATGCTGAAGTCATGAAGGACCAGAAAAGCCTGAGGAACTGCTCTTGAAAGAGAATAGAGGGGCAGACGACTAATTTTGCCCACTTTGCCAGTAATGTCCTCTATAATCCCAGGGTCCAGGATTTCCTGAGTGACCAAGGAAAGGTGCTGGCAGAATTCTGGACCCGGGGATTAGAGAGAACATTATTGGCAAAGTGGGTAAAATTGGAAACAGGGCTACAGATAATATGGTGATATTGTGTCCATATCAGTTTCCTGTTTTGGTTACGTGGGAGAATACCCTTGCTAGTAAAAACATTCTGAGGGCAATGGTGATAATGAGGCATCGTATTTGTAACTTGCTCTCAGATGATCGTGGGGAAAAAAATAGCATTTTATATCTACTTTTCTATATCTAGCATCTAGATCGATCTAGCATCTGTCTGTCTGTCTATCTTTCTATCTATCATCATCTATCAATCACCTAGAGAATGATGAATTTAAGACAAACGTGGTAAAATGCTGACAACTGTTGAGTCTGGATAGGGGAGAAGGAATTTCTTTGTGCTCTTCCAGCATCCTTTCTGTAAGGATGAAATCGAGAAAACAACTGGGACAGCAATAGCGCTGTCGCGTCTGGGCCGTGCTCCTTAGCACAGGGAGGGGCCGGGAGGCAGTCAGGAGGAGCTGGAGTGGCTTCAGTGACCACGGAAAGGTGCTGGCAGATGTCTTACAGGATAGTGGTGGAGGAAAACGGCCCGATTTTCCTAACTGTATTTTATTTAATCCTCAGACTAGCACTGTGAGGTAGATACTAGGCTCCTTTTATAGACTAGGATTTGGAGCTCAGAGATTGAGCTTCACTCAGCCAGCATTTACTTAGTGCTCACCATGTATCAAACATTACGGAGGTTACATAAGTGTGGTTGCCTGTGTATGTGTATGCATTTAGAAAATAGTGCTAGAAAGAAACCTACTAAAATGGTAGTATAATAAGGGAGCTATATTTGAGGAGCAGAATTGCAGGTGCTTTCATTTTCTTTTGTGTGTGTGGGTGTGCATGTGTGTGTGTTTAAGTTATTTCTCATTTTCTACAGCTAGAAATTCCCTTTGTAATAAGGGGAAAAACAAGTATTACTTCAAAATGGAATTGGAGGATCTTGTGAAATGTTCCACATTATGATTTTACTGAGGACCAAATGCTATTTCTGATGCAGTTTTATTTTACTAATGCAGTAGACAAATATTTCTCAATTCAGTTAAGCCTCCTTTCCACACACAGAGAGCCGGTGGGTTTATAACTGGAGAGTTAACATCCACCTGGACTCCTAAGGCCTATATTTGTCTATATTTTCTGCATGAGGGTGCAGGCCCAGGTGGCATGACCTCCTCTACCCCAGACAAAAGTTTCTGAGACCATCATAACAGCAGCTTCTTTGTATAAAGACCACATGTGAACACAGTTCCCACTGAAGGGGGCAGGTGGCTTGGTAAGGGTGCAGCTCTAGTGTCCACAAAAGGAGAGAGGTCAGCTCAGTGGTGTCACTATGTGGGAAGATGGGACACCTGTTAGCTTAGGGTGCCTGACTGATAATTCCTCCTCCCTTTTACTGCCTTGGCACCCTGAGCTCTGCAGTACCCCCCTCGACCCCCTGCCACCCTCCCTGGGTCCTGTTGGCATCCCTGTGTCTGTCTGGCACCCTGAGCTGAGCACCCTGTAAAAACAGACCTTCCTCATGCATCAGCGTCTCTCATGGCTCAAGACCTTGCTTTGAATGGAGCCCACTGTCACCACTTCTGGGCTGAATGGATTTGTGCAAGCAATAGTGAGGAAATGGGTGGAATAAATTAGGGTGCATCCCTGCCATAGACGTCAGTGCAGGCACCAAAAACAATGTTGTGAAATGTTTTGTTCACCGGGAAAGTGATCACAACATGCTGCTGATTAAAACCAGCAACAGAACACTGAGTGCAATTGAAGTCCATCTTTGTTATATCATAAATTCGCAGGGAACAAAAAACAAACTAAAAGAAAATACACCCAGAAGTGCAGAGTAGGCACGTTTTTTTCTTTGGGTAGTGGAAGTGTAGATAATTTCAGTGTTTGGGGTTTTTTCTTTTTTCTTTTTAAGCTGTCTTAGAAATAAGTTTTGTTATTAGGAAATTGATTTTTTTATTGTGCTTTAAGTTCAGGGGTACATGTGCAGATCTTGCAGGATTGTTGCATAGGTACACACATGCCATGGTGGTTTGCTGTTTCCAACCCCTGTCACTTACATCAGCTATTTCTCCCAGTGTTATCCCTCCCCAACCTCCCTGCCCCCCTCGCTGTCCCTCCCCTAGCCTCCCACCCCCCAACATACCCCAGTGTGTGATGTTCCCTTCCCTGTATCCATGTGTTCTCATTGTTCAACATTCACATATGAGTGAGAAAATGTGGTGTTTGGTTTTCTGTTCTTGTGTCAGTTTGCTGAGAATGATGGTTTAGGAAATTGATTTTTAAAGAAATATACATCTGAGGGCAAAGCAAACAAAGGCATGATAAATGGGGGTTCCTTGGTTAGAGATGACGCATCCAGAACATTTTGGATAAATAAGCTACTTTGAGTTAAGGTCCCTCTTGGCCTCATACATCTACATAGAATCTCACCCCACCCTTCCTAGCAGACACTTTCCTCCCAACCCCCTGTCAGCTACAAATACTGTCAGCTTACACAGCAGGCCAGTTTTTCTGCTGACATGTCCAAGGTAGCAGTCAGAACCCTGACCCGTAAAACTAGGAGGCTTAGATGAAGAACAAAAAGAAGGGAAACCAACCCTGCTTCCTTTGCCTGTTATTAATCTCTGCAGTAAAGCCGTTAGAATCTACCAACGTATCACCCAACTTAAAGGGAAGGGAGATTCTGAAAAATAGAATGAAAGGAAGGGCGAATGGAAATGAGGAGTCCCTCTCCTTTATGGCTATTTTAAGAAGCACAACATGTTATTCATATGGCCTGTGCTCTTAGCCCACTGCCTGAATTGTTTGATTTTAGTGAATATAAAAATTCTTCCTAGGGGCTTTCTTAGTTCCACTGCCAATAGCAGTTTCCCATTTCTATTTCTCATTAGGTCTCAATTCTTCCGTCATGAGTTCTGTGTTCCCTAGGATTTCAAGAGCCCAAACCCTGTGGTGGGAGTGGAGGGGAGGGAGGCAGATGCTGGCTACTGATTGGTTTTGGGACTCAGAGTGGAGTCACTGTGGGAATCACTGTTTCCAAGTTCTCTGGCAGTGGGTGAGTGGGGGAGGTGATGGAAGAACAGATTCCTCATGCATCAGTGTCTCCTATGGCTCAAGAGCTCGATTTGAATGGAGCCCACAGTCACCTCTGCTGGGTTTAATTGGTTTGTGCAAGCAATAGTGGGGAAATGGGTGACTTTGTTGACAAATGTTAATGGTCACAAATCTGAAATCTTGCTTGAGCCCAAGCCCTTCTCTGGTAAGCTTAGTCCCAGTCTCTGGAATATTTGGTTTTGCTCATTTGTCTCCTTTGTACCAGGGAAGAAGTTCATGGAAAAGACTGAAGCCCCAGAAGTGGTTAGTCTAGGCTCCCAGTGCACTCCCTCTCTACCCCAAGTGGCTGTGACTTCATGCTGTGCCAAGTGTCAGAACCCGCCTGGGAGAGCCAGGCTGCTGCCCCGTGAGCCTGGCAGGGCATCCCTGATGGTTCTGGGTTGGCCTCCTGTGGTCCCAGTCAGAACCCAGCAGAGACTTCATGCTCCCCTGTGGAGGGAGACGTGGAGCTGGCCCTCTCCAGCCTGTCCACGGAGAGGAAGGGGAGCCATTTAACCAGGTGCACGGCCACACGCCTGTGGAAGAGCTGCCGCAGATGCTTCCGGAACCTCTCACCAACGAAGGCGTAGATCACAGGGTTGACACAGCAGTGCGTGTAGGCGATCATCTCCGTCACTTGAATAGCCAGGTCCAGCTGTCTGCCCTGCTCACACCCATAGGTGAACAGGAAGTCTTGGAAAACAGAAATAAGCGTAGTCAAATTATAGGGGGTCCAAAAGAGAAAGAAGATGATCATGATGACAAAAATCAGACGGACAGCTTTGGATTTCTTCTCATTTGGTCGTCTGAGCAGAATCTTTATGATCCCTGTGTAGCAGACGATCATGACCAACAAAGGCAACACCAGCCCCAAGAGGTTCAGTTTCAGCGCCTGAAACAGTTTCCACTCTTGTCGGCTTTCGTGAGGGAAATGAAGGCTGCAGGTGCGATGAGTGATTTCCCACTGGGTCTTGGCAAAGTACAAGCCTGGCAGGGAAGCCAAGATGGCCAGGACCCAAATGATGATGCTGGTGATGACACCGAAAGTGACAGTCCGTGCCCGCAAGGCAAACACGGCATGGACGATGGCTAGGTACCTGTCGATCGTCAGCAGAATGATGAAAAAGATCTCACTGTACAAGCCTGTGTAATAAAACCCAGAGAGGACCTTACACATGGCATTACCGAAAACCCAGTCAGTCTTCAACTGGTAGCTGATCCAGAAGGGCAGCGTGAACAGGAAGAGCAGGTCAGAAATGGCCAGGTTCAAGAGGTAGATGCTGGTCATATTTTTGAGCCTCTTGTATTGCACAAGGACCACGACCACCAGGATGTTGCCAACCAGGCCAATGACAAATACCAAGGAGTACAGCGGGGGCAGCAGCTTGGCCCCAAAAGCCCTCTCGTTCGCTTTATGGCACGGAGTCGCATCCGAGTAGTCAAACTCTGTGATCATGTCATAGTCCTCTGTGGTGGCTGAAGTCTCCATCCTGGGTTCTCCTACAGGTTAAGAAAAAAAAGAGTTTGTCTTTACTCTGCTGTTAAAGGCAGTGAGCTCTGGACAGTCAAGACAAGGCAGTGGTGACATTTCTCTATCACTCGATAAATGTTTATTGAGTCCTTCTGTGTGCCATGCTGTGGGGACAAAATGAAGTGCTAAGGAGACCCAGGTCCTCTCTGCCTTCTAGGAATCTATAGTCTAACAGGGAGTGGGAGCAATAAACAAAGGAGTGCACAAATCATTAATTCAATCATTTTAGCAAAGAGGTTTGTAAGGGACAAATTCAGTGGGTGGAAAGCCAGAGGGAGACCAGAGACCTTACCACACTGTTCATAACCAATTCTTCCTAAGCACCCCCATGGGCCAGGCACTGGACTTAGTGTAAAGAGTCCTGGAGGGGTCCCATTATTGTTCTCATTTAAGAGCTGACGAAACAGAGGTTCAGAGTGCTTAGGAAATGTGTTCAAAGACACACCTCTTGTGAGAACAGAGCTGGAGCTCAAGCCCAGATGCATAGCCCTGACACCATTAAGCTTTCCTGCCGCTGTCACTGAGCAGTGGCCTTGCACTGTGGAGCCCACAGGAGGACTCTGAGAAGGAAAACAGTCCTGGCTCAGAGTCAAAACTTACAGATCTTCATGGCTTTTGGTCTGAAAAGATTCTCAGCCGAGAGTGACCTAGTACTCTTGGGGCACTTGGAAGTGTGTGGGCATTTGTTGTTGTCACCAAGACTGGGGGATGCTAGGCAGAGCCAAGGATGTCCTACAGTGCAGAGGTCATTCTGCCCCAAATACCAGTGGTGTTGCCATAGCGAAATCCTAGTAGGTCAATGCCATTATTTTGGAGATGAGGACACTAAGGGCACCAGAGTGGGCTGAGCCTGACCCACATTGCACAGCCCTTAGGTGGCACAGGTAGATCCACGGTCACTCTGCAGACCTCCTGAAAGGGTTCAGAGGAAAGCGCAGGCAGGGAGGAGGGAGGTGGACTGGTCAGAAAAAGGGAAAACTGGGTATCAGGGTAGGAAGAGCTCCAAATGGCCTAGAGCTATGAGGTGATGTTACACAGTGACTAGCTGAATGCTGCTAGATAAGCTCTTAGATAATTTTACCCAGGGGTGCCTTAAAGCAAACAAAAATGAAACAAAAACAATCACTCTGTAGGTTGCCTTTGTAGGACTTCTCCCAGTCCCTGCTTTTCTGGCACACCTTTTGAATCCTTTCCAATTGCTTACTAAAGATGCCTCCCCAAATGGAGTATGGGCTTAGGTGTAACGTACCAGCTTTGTGACCTTGGATAAACTAGTCTACCCCTCTGAGCTTCATTCCTTATCTGTAATGTGGGAAAGTAACTCTTATCTTGTGGATACTGTGGGGTAATATATGAGAAAAGTGTCCTTCCTCACCCCATGGGCAAGGGCCAGGCCCCTTATTGAAGGCCTGGCAAGAGCCAGGCCAGGGCACTTTTCTCAGGAAACTTCCCTGAGAGACCTCCTTTCCTGCAGGAGCCCTTCCCTGAGGCCTGTCACCACCAGTGTGTCCCAGGCATCAATGTCCAGGATGTCCCTGGCTGGCTGATATACCCTGTCTGCATATCCCTCCTGCCAAATCTCTTTGTAGTTAATCTAGAAGGTAATTTTTCTTTATAATAGTGGACAATGGTGGTCCCTTCCCTGTGAATGACATTTGAAATTGTCAATCTACTGATGCCAGTCTAATCTGATTTGGCCAAATACCAGTCAGTAACGAAGGTGGCACCTGCTTTATAATTTCTACCTTAAACCTGGGTCTCTGCTGTTCTTCCTCCAGCTCTCCTTGAGGAATGTTTCCTGCTTACAGAATTCACATTTTTGCAATAGCTACTGTAAAGGAAATTAAGGTGCATGGAGGATACAGGGCACCCTGGCTGGAAGAGGTGATACTCTATTAGGGTGGGAAGTGAGGAGCTTTAATTTTTCATCAAATCCATCCCCTGGCCCAATCCTCCATCTCTGGAGACACCCAATCAGCCCTATTTATGGAGAGAGTGAGGCTACCAGCCACTGACAAAGCTATGTTGGCAGCTTCTGATTTCTGCGGCCACAGCCATTGCTGACGAGGGCAGACAGCTCAGTCTGGTAGTCAGCACTTTCGGATGGGCTGGCAGGTTAACAGTGGAAGTAAGCAAACAGCGTGGAAAGCACAAAGAGCAGCTAGTGTGAGGCTGACCTCATGAGTCTAGTTTCTGGGAAGGTTTGGCAAAGGCAAGTTGGGTCAACATTGTCAGGTGCCATTTTAAACCGAGTCACCTCCATAACTGCCTCCCCTCCACCTCCAACTCCATTTGTTATTTCCTCAACTTGTTAAGCACCAGGCAACCACTCCAAGGCATGCTGTTCCTAAAGGGAGGTGATCTGGGATGGGCCTGAAAAGATAAACCAAAGGACCATGTTGCCATCTAATCTGCCAGCCCTGCTGTATTCTACTACAGAAGTCTGCCTCAAGGCCACTGCACAGTGGTCAGCTATAGTCCTGGATCCTGCACCCACCCCCTGCCACTGCCAGTGTCCTCCAGCCTGGGATTTGGTGAAGTCACTGAGCAGAGATAGAGCAGTCTGTAATGGTGAAAGACACCCAGACCTATGGTGTGCTGGCTGGCTTACACTGGTTCATAAGTGCCAATTACATGCATCTCTTCCCAACTCCACATTCAGCATGTTGGTAGCTTGAAACTGACCACAGTTGGGAGCATTTATACCATGAAAATCAACAAGTGTTATGAAGCAGGGATCTTCTCTGCAGGAGAGTCCGTTGTTGAACATTTGCCAGCACATCACTGCCCAGGCCCCACATTCTGAACAGTCCAGAGCTGTTCCACTGCTCAGTGTGGGAACTAAAGGGTCAGAGAGTGGCGCATAGCCTGCTGGCAGGCTGTGCAGACTTCTGGGAGTTTCCACCTCTTCTTTGAAATCTGGGACCCACTGAGATCACCTATGAAGTAGATACCTATAAGGAGCCACTATGCCCCTCTATCTTCAGAACAAAATCCTGACGCATATCTTGTTATTACAGCAGAACAGGTGCCCCCGAGACCATCTGGCCAGCTCCTTGCCTTTGGGTGAGTGAAAACCTACCTCCTCCAAAGACAGCAGTGCTGAGTTTGAAGATCGTTGGTTCTAGTCTTCTTAAGACATAGGTTCAGTATCAAATCATTCTTCCATCTGCAGAGAATTTTCTAACTAAAATTTCCCTCTTGCTATAATTTATTTATACACCATGCTTAGCTTTCCTTTACATGTGGAAATTTGGCAAGTAATTTCTTGTTGAATAGGTTTCCGCAGAAAACACCTTCAGTCCCTTAGTACTGGCTGACTTTCTTAATCAGTAACCAACAGCCAATCTTTCAAGAAAGCTTCCTTTTTAGCAAAAGAGCCTATTTCACATCTGCACACCCAACCTTATAAATCCACCATTCTCAGTATTGCTACAGTATTCATTGCCTTGGAGTTGCGTTCATGGGCTATTTAGGACATCTGCCCCGCCCTCAAAGAATTCTTTGCTTTCGAGGAGTGCCTAGCTGCATGCATGTCTTTGATCAAGACTGCCCTCCACAGTAACAGATAAGACAGAAAAAACAAGTGCCACTTACTCTGATTCCCAGGGACTTTGTCCGTGAAGTCTGTTTCTGGGGCTTTCCGAGTTTTTATGAAGTCAAGGTTCAATGTCCTGACTGAGTAGGAAGTACTCAGCTTCCTGCGTGATGATGGAGAATTGACTCCAGTTTCACAGTCTTTCAAAATGACAAGCAGGGGACAAAGTTCTTCTTTTTATGTGGTTCAGTGCTCATGAATGGCCACAACGCCCCCAGTGGCCACTTCCTGGAGGTCAAGTTGACTGTGAGGATTTTCTCTGCTCACTCTGAGCCACTTGAGTCTTGGCCCTGGGAGCTCTGCCTTAAGGGAATTGGGGGCAGGGTGGGGGTAGATGGAGCTGCGCTGGGTGAGGTGGGTGGGAGTGAGATGTTCCCAGAATGTTTGGAGCAATCGAAGTGTGGGATGTGTATATTAGGATGGGGGCAGGCCATAGCGCTCTTGCAATCAGTTGCCTTTTTTTTTTTTTTCCTTCTTCTTCCTTAAAGACTGTGAATGGAAGGATTTAAACTGGAACCCCGAGTCCTGTTCATCAAAACCAACTGACATGGGTACGCACAGAGGCAGGAGCTTCTCTTCGTCACTGTGTGCCCCTCTGCCTCTGGGAGCTCATTGTCCCTCTGCTCTCTGCTCCCCATGTCACTTCCCACCAAACCTCACAGAGTGGCTTTGCCCCAGAAACTTCCAGCATGGAGAGAATATAGGTCTGTTGGTTATATTTTGACCTTCCCTTTCTGACGCCCGTTCCTGCTTTATGCGGTGGTCAAACATGGGCCAAGTTCAAATCCCAGCTCTCCACCTGTGACATGGGCAGATCACTCACCTTTCTAAGTGTCCATTCCTGCTTACCTCCGAGGAGAAGCAGGAGGTCACCTTATACATGAAAAATGTCGGAGTGCCTGGCACAGTGAAAAATGCCTGAGAAATGATGCGTACCGTGGCTCTCCTCACAACTGCCAACACATATTCTGCAACTGCCCTTGTGTCTTCTGTAAAGTGGGGACACCCCAACCTTCCTCACTGCATTGCTACAAAGTGCTGTTTCAGAAATCATCAGTGTGAATGTGCTTTGAAAAGGTCACTTGTCCCTTCATGGTTCTGTTTCCTTATCTGTAAAATGAAGAATTTAGACAACATGGCCTAAACTTGGCATCTGACCATCACTCGGCTTCACCCTGAAGAAATAAATGGGGGTCCGCATGTGCCTGGCTATTTACAGTACGTTGCTGGTGGATTAGTTCCACCAAGAGAACAGAGGCTTGTAAGGGCTGTTTTTTCCTTGGTCCTGGCTAAGGCAAGGGACATGGTCAGTACCTCATTCTTGACCAGCCTCCAGCTCTGCTCTAGGTTTTATGCCACAGAGGGGACGTA